AGAGTGAGAGAGAGACAGTGTGTGTGTGTGTGTGACAGAGTGAGAGAGAGACAGAGTGTGTGTGTGTGTGTGACAGAGAGCGAGAGAGAGTGTGTGTGTGTGTGACAGAGTGAGAGAGAGACAGTGTGTGTGTGTGTGTGACAGAGTGAGAGAGAGACAGAGTGTGTGTGTGTGTGTGACAGAGTGAGAGAGAGACAGTGTGTGTGTGTGTGTGACAGAGAGCGAGAGAGAGTGTGTGTGTGTGTGTGTGTGACAGAGAGTGAGAGAGAGAGGAGTCACACTGCTTGCACTTATACACACACTACACACATCCAGGGTCAGATCTAAGGGGGGGGGGCATGGCTCCCGCAAGTAAATATGTGGCCACCCCACATTAAAATAATAAAAAGGAAATATGCATTATTCTACTTTCCAAGCGGAACCATAGAATAGATTATGTGCAGTGTGGCCACCCCCATAAGCATAACTGCCCCCCGAGGAGCCCCACCCTCATCAAAGATTTCTGCAGGCTCCACTATGCACATGCGTCATATGCTACACTGTCCAGCGTACATACACACACGCTTAAGGCATCCTCAGTCATACACACACACTCCCCATGACACACAGATTGTCAGCACACACTCCATCACGCCGTTTCAGGCAAACACACACACAGTACCAGTGTGAGACTAAGGGCAGAGATCCAGGTTTCTTCTCCTCCTAATGGCTCTGGGTGCATGAGGTCACCCTTTAGGGGGGATCGCTTCTCCTCTGCGATAAACCAGCTCCTCGGATCGGCTTCCTCTGTGTGGACCTCAGTTCTGGAGAATTCTTGGTATTCACAGGGAGGAAGGATGCATCGGTAGTTTGGTTAAGCTGAATCCCCAGGCCTGTTTGACCGCGATAGTTTACTCATGCTGTACCGCTGGAATTACAAGTATTAAAACAAAAGGAAATAAACAGCCTTCAGGCACTGAAAGGTTCAGATTCATTATAATTATAAAAACAAGCCACTAAAGCCCAAAATAAAATCCTGGATTTGCAGGAGTGGTTATCTGGACACATCATCAGTTACACAAAAAAAACAATTAAGCAGCTGTATTTACCATTACGGTAATATTCTGTAAGTAGACCATTAAATTATTTGGCAACCGTTTCTGGCGCCTGGTGTGGGGGGTGCCCCAGCCCCTAAGGCTGCTTGGAAATCGGCCCCCACATGACCCTGTCCAAGCTAAGCAAAAGATGGATGGATGGACAGACAAACAATTTAGGTGCTAATATAAATTGTAATCCTTCACAATACACTATCTATCCATCTATTTATTTTCAGACCCAGTTGATAAAACATAAAATGAATATGTGCACGAGTCTATTTTTAACCAACATTTTCAAAATTATTTGATTATTTCTCCATTTCAGAGGCTATTGTCTGGATTCTCTCTCTTCATGGCTCGTGCCCTTCCTCTTAGCTTAAGTTTGCCCGTCAATGAGTCATCAGCAAAGCTTTTAATGATGACCCCCTTGCCCAGAACTTGTAACTGCACACGTGTTTTCTCAGAACACGCCAGAGGCCAATTATGTCTGACTGCCAGTGTCCATGCATTCATGGCATAGAGCAAGAACGTTATTGCTTGGTTTCCACAACGACCGTGGAGCCTTCAGGACTTTTGGAGGAACTTCTCATAGGCACAATCATTCTGACTTGCTATGGGTTCGAGCGGCAGGAGAAACAGTTACGGAAAGCTCTAGAAAGACTGCAACTCATGAGTGAAAATGACTAGTCTTGACTGTCCATGGAGCACAGACTCTAAGCAACAGAATCCATGTCGAATTTGTTAGTTTTTCTTATAACCATCTATCCATCTTATCACCATTACGGTGTGACAGTGTGTCTGAAGCTTCTGTGAGGAAAGTCAGGCACCTTGGATGAGACGCCACGCACAAATTTACACACGCAAACACAAGGGGCAGTTTCATTCGTTTTTTTCCTATTATAATTAAATTATTTTAAAAAATGAACAATAGTGTCCTCTAGTTCCTATATTCACACTCTACAATGTTCCCCCACAAACCTTTGGTCAGAAATGTGTTGCAGGTGAGCTGTTAACTCACAGATATCCAATGAGCAGCTGACATAACACTTTTTAGAAATGGAGTTAGTTATTTTCATTTCTGTGTTTATAAAGCAGTTATGTTAATTTCTTTATTTTTTTAAATTTTGCATATACATATGTACGTTACGGCACTGCAAGGGATGTCACATTGGCGTGGGCGATGAGTGCCGTGCTGTCACGGCGTCTGAGACAAAGTGAGATTGGCCGGCTAAGTCACCCACCTTATAAGCAGTAGCGCCCCCTGCAGGGCCGACAAAGAACAAGCACGCCTGCTAGGAACCAGCTGACTGCAAAGTGAACATGAACGTTGACATCATCGCCAGCCTCGGTTGATATAATCGTATATTATAGCAAACACATATTTCCCCAGATTATCTTCTTTAGAGAACAAGATGTCACTGGTTTAAATAAAGCAAGAACCCTGTGACGGACCGGTCCAGTCTAGGAAATAGCCATTTCTGTGCCCCCATGTTCAAGATCAGAACATAATCAGAGACATAACCTGCTCCACTGCACCTGGCCAGCTTAGCTTGGAGCACCTGGAGACCAGCCCGAGCCAGTGTACTGATTGCTCACCAAATACCTTTTCACCGACGTTGTGTAAAATAAAGCAGCAGCTGAGAAGGGGCGGAGCCTCTGCCGCCTACTGCATCATGGGACTGTGCGCATTCAGGAAGAAGAAGTGTATGATGTGCATGATCCAGGGAGCCTCCTGCTTCGTGTCTTCGTGGTCCCTGGCTCACTATAATCCCACACTGGAAAAAAGATACGGAACATCTGTCACTCTATCCATGTACTCCCTGTTCAGTGCAGTGCAGGGCAGTGAGCACAGTTATTATTATTATTATTGTGATTATTATTCACTAAGTATTTCCTCATAAACCATTTAGCTTGCACTCATGATTCAAGGCTATTTTTAAATTTCCAATTTTCTAGGGGGGAAAAAAGCATGCTGATCAAATCAATTCCTTTATTGTCATAACAGTAGAGAGAGGTCTTAGGTCATATATGCTGATGGGGGGTGGGGCAGTGGTTGATGCTGAGGCCTCACAGCCGCAGAGCTGCAATTGGGGAATTGAGTCCTGAGTTTTGTCCTTGGTTTGTGTGGGATTTCTCTGGGTAATTGCTTTTCTCCCACAATCCAAATACATGTGGATTTCACAATAAATTCCTCTTAGTGTGTGAATGTATGCCCTGCGATGGACTGGCATGCCCCCGCCTTGTGCCCTGCGATGGACTGGCATTCTGTCAGCATGCCCCTGCCTTGTGCCCTGGATTGGACTGGCATTCTGTCAGCATGCCCCCTCCTTGTGCCCTGTGCTTCCTGTGATAGGATCCAGGCTCCAGTATAAGATAAATGGCCATGGAGAATGAAAGAATGCATCCAAATGGCTCATAATTGGCCCCATGGTTCTTAACTGTAGCTTAGCATCTCTGGCCTCCACGTTCAGTGCATGAAATGCAAACAACGTGCATGTGACCCTATATGCTCTCAGATCCTTCATGTTCTGTGATGCGATCAGGTAGCAGCTCTGTAATGTATATTACATTCCCCTACAGGCATATTTTTGTTACTGAATGTTACTGGATCTTCGCCCAGAGCTGAATATTAGACATTTATTTTCCGATGTGGAAAACGTAATCTGTTCATGACACTTCGTAACCGGTTAGGCAGCTTTAACAGCAGTGAGTGCAACAAGTGCTTCTGCTGGTTATTGATTGGTTATGGTTAGGAAAGGTTAAATTCAAGCTTTCAGATTAGACACCTAGTTAAGTACCTGTGCACAGAGCA